CTTTTGGAGGAAGGGCCAACTAAGAATGCTCCACACACAGTCTCCCTATAAACTGGGCTATCTGAGCCAACATTCCAATGTCGCCTACAACTGACACCAGAAAATATTGTGATAGACAAATTAATATATTTTTTTAGTAAAGTCAATTTTCTTTACATTAAAATTAGAAGAACTAAATGGACTTGAAATTTAGTTTAATTATGATTCTATGGTTTATTAAATTATTATGTGGTCAGTTAAGCTTATTAACTTTTTATTTTTAAATTTCAGTGTCTTTCTATGTATTTTTATAAGATTGAAATAAATTTGAACTTTGCATATTGGTTGACCATGTTGAGAATTAACTCATCTTAACATTGACATTGCAAAATAAAAAAAAGGTGATAAATGTACTTGTCGCTTATTAAGAGAAATTGGGTTAGGCGACATGAAATTGAAGTTATTACATGTAGACTTGTTCATAATAAGGTCACAGGTAGAGAAAGCTTCTTATTTCATCTGTGTTTTACGTGACTCTTATTTATTTAAAAGTATTTAAGAAAAACAACAAATCCAATAGTTTGAGGTAAACGTAGGTACTTAACCTAAACTATTATCTTTCTGAGGTAATAAACTTAAGGCTCTCTTGTACCTCCTTCATGTTTCCATACAAATACGCATCGAGAGTAAAGATGCGCTCGCTTGAGTTCATATATTTTTAACCACAGAAAAAAAACACGTACTTGCTTCGGAAGTACATATACTAAAATTGGAACGATACAGAGAAGATTACAGAGAAAAAAAAACAAATGCACTTATAAAAAAATTTGATGTTATTAGATTATACTAAACCCTATTTTTAAATAGGTAAGATGAAATAGATCAGTAATAAAATCAATCTAAAAGCCTATTTAGAGTAATCTTCGTATTTTTTTCTATCTAGCTTATTATTGAAATTTATGTTTCTGTTTTTTGCAGAAAATTGACCATATGTTTAATTTTCATTTTTATTTGTCAAATATTAGCCTAGCCTTAAAATAAAATTGGTTTAAAAAGTGGTAACTTCGTAAAACCTCGCCTTAAAATAAATTTGAAAATTAAAAATAAATCATATTTTAAGCTTTGAAAATTTATTTTGGTTTTGAAATACAACACTATCCCTTTAGATACATTTTTAAATATTGTGCTGTCATCTCGTCATCATCAGCCTTGCGTACATTAACCCAATATTGGGGTACTGGAGTAGCTCGTTGGCGTAGTGGATAAGCGCCGCGGCCCGCGATCGTTATCGTTAAGCAACTTTCGCAAGGGTCGGTCACGAGATGGGTGACCAAAAAATTATTATCTCGAGCTACTCCGTGCTTCGGGAGGCACGTACTGCTGTTGGACCCTTTACAGTCGTTAATACCCTCCAATCCGCATTGGGCCAGCGTGGAGGGTCATGGCCCATCCTCTTTAGCCATCCATAAAGAAGGCCTGAGCCCCTGCAGTGGGGACGTAAAAGGGCTGATGATGATAATTGGGGTAGAGGGTTTCTCTATGGATAGAATCAACACAAATCGGTTGGGAAAATGGGTTTTGACCCATCGGTCGGGACCAGTACACAGTGTTTTAACAATTGCAGATGCAACTGGGAAAAACGGTTTAACGTGCCTTTTTAAGCATAGAGGGATGCAAAATATTTTGGTCACCTATCCTATATAATTTTTTAAATACTTTCCTCGTATTAATAGTATCAGTAACAGATATAGTGATTTCATAAGTATAGATACTATTTAATTACTAAACGTAGTTACGTTTAAGTTACTAATTATTACTAAGTAAAAATTAAGCTGTAATTTTATTTAATGGATGTACATTAAATTAAATTATATGCTATATTAGACAACTGTTAAGAACATGCACTAATTAAATTCTATTTGACAGTTTAATCTAATGTTTGCCGGCGCCATTTGCGTAATAGTGATCAATTGCTATGAACATTTTACACTTTCTAAAATAGATTAGATAATAAATAGGTATATACATATATTTCATCTGTTAACTGTCGCGCCATGAGTGTATACCACATAATATATATCATATTACACATATTATATGTTACGAGCTGCGTTAAATAATAACTGTAATACCGCGCAACTGTAATTATATATTTGTGAGTCTTTCTATGAGGAGCTCGATGGGTGGGAGGAGTTCGATAGCTAGTTCCCTCGGCCTCCTTGACCTAATAGGATGGGTGAATAAAAATTTATAATCTAGAACTCCTTCGTAATTCGGAAGGCACGTTAAGCCATTGGTCCCGGCTGCATCTGCTGACGTTAATACCTACCAATCCGCACTGAGCCTATATGGTGAGTCATGGCCCATTATCCCTATTCGATTCCATCATGGTGTAGCTCTCGACTTTCACAATAGCTTGTAACAGCCTAGATTGAATAAATATTTTGATTTTTTAATTTGATTTTGATCATCCATATGAAAGGCCTGACCCGGCAGATCCTCATCAACAGGCTGGTGATGAGTAATTATCCATCACGGAATAGCAAATTTTATTGTCATGGTATATCTATGCATATTATAAAGAGGAAAGATTTGATTATTTGTAGGGTTGTTTCTTTATATTAAATAGGCTCCGAAACTACTGGACTGATTTTAAAAGCATTTCCACCTTCGGGAAGCTACACTATACGCGGGTGACATAGGCTATAATTAATACGGGCCAAGTCGCGGGAAAACATTACAATAGAATACATAGTATGGCATATACCATACCATTTGGTTGTCATGTTTTTGGAATTGTTGCTAGTCGGCCGAAAACACTCCCTACAAATTCAAGCCACGAAGTGGCGTCGCGCCTTGCTACGGTAACGAAAAACGTATTAAACGCGTCAGGGCAATCTTTGTGATATCTTTGTCATTTGTGAGGTTGTAGTTGTTATAATGAAAGTTGTTAAGTTTTATACAATTAATTTAATCCCATATATATTTTAGCCACTTTTTGCAGTCTATTTTCTACTCAACTTGAATGAAAGGAAAAAAAAAATTTACAAATTAGTGTGATGAAATTTATTTTTTCAATATTTTCCGAACATACTCGTATAACAGAAACCTATATTCCAAAGCACGGTTTTGTTAAAGTTTCCAAATAATTTTAGGGGTAAAAGTATGAAATTGACGTTTTATTGTAATAGGTTTCTTGAATTGATATTAAATCATCATAGTTTGAGGTTTTCGAAAGAAACTTTTTTTATATGGTTTCTATGATGTTCTTCTTTTAAAAAATAAGAAAAATTTGAATATCGATTTTCAATTGTTTTTGTTATTCAACTTAGACAAGAAAGATGGATACTGTGAAAATTCGAGTGATTTTTGAATACGAGTTCCGACGCGGAAGTAACGCGGCAGAAACAGTCTGCAATATCAATGTTGCATTTGGAGAGGGGTAGGTGTCTGGTAATTAACACACAGTGCGATTTTGGTTTAAACGTTTTCTTACTCACAATATTGACTTATTTGCGTCAAATCAATAAAATAAAAAATACGAAAAATTGGTGCCTCGTGATTTGACTGATCTGCAGAAAGAAACGCGTGTTGTAGCTTGTGTTGCCTTATTGAATCGGTACAGAAATGAAGGAATATTGGACCGAATTGTGACATGTGATGAAAAGTGGATTCTTTATGATAACCGTAAAAGAAAAATGCAACGGCTAACCCCAGGTCAAACGCCACCACAGTGTCCTAAAGCAAAACTTACCAATAAAAAGGTAATGGTAACTGTTTGGTGCTCTCAGCATGGTGTTATGAACTATAGTTTTCTCAGATCTGGTCGACAGATGTCTATTTTGCCGAACTCTGAACAATATTGGCAAAACTAGCAGTAAAACAGCCCCGACTCATGAATCGATCTTCACCATTATTGCTCCATGACAATGCGAGACCTCATACAGCACGAGAAACCGTTTTAACTCTTCAGGAACTGTAGTTAAAAACCATTCGTTCAACCAAAAACCTTCTTATTCACCAGACTTTACTCCAACGGACATTTTTTTCGTGATTTGGACAATTATCTACGTGACAAGAAGGTAGTTTTCTTCCCAGGAGGCAATATAAAATTTTGATTAAATAAATTTGTTAAAAATTAAAAAAATAAATAATTTTGATTTTTAGTACAAATCGACAATTTCATACTTTAAACCCTATTATATGTTTCATGTTGAAGTGTGTTGGCAACAGTAGCTTAACTATTCTTTCAAACTTTCTACAAAATTTTGTTCATTGTCTTAAATATTTCCGTTTGAATAAGAATAACCTAACCCGATGTCGCGTCTCATACGCTTAGTCATTCGAATGTGACAACTGCATATTATAAGTAATATATTAGAAAATGATCTTTGTATATTACAGATCATTGTTTTTAAAAATGATAGATGTGTAATTTGATGTTATCGACATCGTCTAGGGATACTTTAAATCTATCACGAAAAATCTACTGGTCGAATTTTGATGAAATTTGGTATACGGATACTTCTGAGCGTGGATTAACATATAGGCTACTTTTTATTTCAATAAACAGTTTCCTAGGAACCACGCTGGCGAAGCCGCTGGTGAAAGCTTATAACTTAATATTCATGAAACTCTTTAGTTCTCGTAAAAAAAACGGTTTGTAACTTTTTTTGAACATTCCTTTGAATTTAGTATAATTTTAGTAAATTAAACAATATCCATTAAGTTTGTTTTCTTATTACTAGCTGTTTTCTCATGACTTTATCAAGGAGATATATCCTTTGTTACCTTACTGTGAGGTAGCTTTCCGTAGGTTAAAAAAACGAATTGGTCAAGTCGTTTCGGAGCTCATTAAATGCAAACAAATAAATCTTTTTCTTTATAATATTGGTATAGATAATCTTTTATGGTGTCATTAAATACTTTATAGTTTTCTGGAAATATTAAAATGTTCAATATCCCTAGACTTTATCGATGTGTGTATTTCTATTATCTATAAAATGAATAAATTTTCTTACCTTGTGGCCAAGAATTTGTTGTAGATAATTATTATCACACTTGACGACCTGTAAAAAATACAAACATAAACTTAATATTTAAAGAACTTATTCATATTTTTTAAGAAGGATTATAGTTGTAGTAGTCTTGTAGTTAAAAACTAGAAGTCAAGGTGCATCGGAAGAGTGACCAAAATTTTGCTATCTAGAGTTTCTCTATGTTTCAGAAGGTGTATCATGGTTGGACAAATTTTGGTATAAAAACCGACTTGTTTCACTTTCATTGTTTTCTTTTAATTTGATACCATAATTTGGTGACAGACAAAAAATCGTAATTTTGAAACTGGTTTAAAACTTAAAAAGTTGTCCAATCAAAAGCTATCGGAGAAAGTGGATGATATTTGTATCATGGGTATTAGCAACTTGAGCGGTGGTGAAATTGTTATGTCACTAAGTAAATATGCCAGTTATAGGATCGGTAATATAAAACTTTTCAAATTTAATTAGGTAGTTAAAATGTGAGTTTGAATTGATATTTGCCGCTTAAGAAGTTTTATTGGTCAATAGATTTATTTTATATTAAACTAGCTTTTGCCCGCGACTTCGTCCGCGTGGTATAGTTACTATGGGCAGCAGTTCTAAAACGAATATTCAATCATTATATCATGTTAAATACTTGAAATTAAGTTTCATGGTTTTTGTCTTTGACAATAACAAACTTTAATTCCATATTTTAACTCTTTTATCACAAAAAACAATCTAAGTATGTCCTATCTCAAGTCGACTCTGTTTAGAGGGTTAGACGTGAGAGCGCAAATGACATATACACAGATTTATTTCGCATGTATAATATATGTATGGAATAATTTAATGATCCTCCTCGTCGCTCATTACTTCATATAATAAGAGATTACCAGACAATTACCGAAATAAATATACTATAAAAATAATATAAATCACGATTCTTTGATCGACTTTTAAACTCACAGCTGCTAAAATTCAAATTTTAAATTATTAATATTATAATGAATATGTCGTAGACAACTGGGTAAAAGAAGAGAGAGAAAGAAAAACGCGCATCTAATGTCCACATAAAACTTAATAGAAAACTAAAATATACGCAACTTTTTTAACAAAACGATTACGCAGTTTAGTTGAGATTAAACCCCATCACCATCATCAGCCCCACTGCAAGAGGTCAGGTTTTCCTTATGGATTGGTTGAGTAAGATGGGCCATGAGTCTCCACGCTGGTTCAATGCGGATTAAAGGGGGATTTATGACTGCAAATGCAGCCGAGTCCAACGGCAAAACTTGCCTTCCAAATCACGGAATAGCTCAAGATTATAGATTTTTGGTCACCCATCCCTTGATCAACTCTTCTTGAACTTGCTTAACAACAACGATCAAGGCGCTTATTCACCTTTAACCAACTATTAAGCTTAAAATTTTTACTAAATTTTATTTGAAAACTTGAACCAAAACAGTGCTATGTAGTATACTTAACGCCATCTAGTATAGCACAAAATGTTTAGATTGAAAATTATTTCTACTTTAATAATTTCAAAATTATTTATTTTTTAATATAATTTTTGTTATAAAATATGTACTCAAATACCAATTTTAATCGCTATATAATAAAACATTTTGTAAATAATATTAGATAAATTTATTACAATGACAAATTACATTGTAAACAATGGTTGCTATGGTAACATTTTGATTCCCCATAAAATCTTTCACTCCCATTTTTATCCCTTTAAGTGTTAGTTTTCGGGATAAGGATAACCTATTACATTCCTAAGGTCATAAACTACCCAAATACCAATTTTCATCAACATAGGTCTATAAACAAAGAAGTATCATACAAACTTTTTCACCCTTTTTGACCCCCTTCCGGATGGAATTTTCGAAAATCCGTTCTTAGTACACCTCTCCGTATTAAGGGGAATGTTACCTCCAAATTTTAAGTTTCTACAACCAGCGGTTTAGGCTGTGCGTTGTCTCTCAGTCAGTAAGTCTGGACATCTCCTTTTATTATTATTTTTTTTTATGGGATAGGCGGCAGACGAGCAGACGGATGATGGTAAGTGATTACCGTCGCCCATTGACACTTGCAACACCAGAGGGGCTACAAGCGCGCTGCCGGCCTTTGAGGGACGAATATGATCATAGGGAGGGGAGGGTTGAGGGGTAGAGGGTAGGGAATAGGGAGGGGTTGGGCCTCCGGTACCCTCACTCACACGACGAAACACAACGCAAGCGTTGCTTCACGTCGGTTTTCTGTGAGGCCGTGGTATCACTCCGGTCGAGCCGGCCCATTTATGCCTTCTTTATAACTTTATAACATTGGAACCATCATTGAGAATAATTTAGCAAAAAAGAATCATAGAATAGGTGGTTCTTATTCCTAGTCCTAAATTAAAAATTAACAGATATATCTCTGAAAATATAAATAGTTAGTTGAATAAAATATTGCTACCAAAATTATTATATTATGAACCTTATTATTGCATCTTTAATGAATATGATTTGACATTCGCTATTTATTATATAATTTTAATGATTTGATATTTTTTATGTAAAATATCAGACATTTTATTGCATTTGACTTTAATATTTGTACCTTGTCTTGACAATAAAATATGCTGATCTAAATGTAAGATATAATAATAATAAATATGATATGCTGTAACCACATTTAATATTATTCATCATCATCAGCCCTTTTACGTCCCCACTGCAGGGGCTCAGGCCTTCCTTATGGATGGTTAAGGAGGATGGGCCATGACCCTCCACGCTGGCCCAATGCGGATTGGAGGGTATTAACGACTGCAAATGCAGCCGGGACCAACGGCTTAACGTGCCTTCCGAAGCACGGAGTAGCTCGAGATAATAATTTTTTGGTCACCCATCCCGTGACCGACCCTTGCGAAAGTTGCTTAACGACTACGATCGCGGGCCGCGGCGCTTATCCACTACGCCACCGAGCTACCGAGCTATAATAATAACATTATAAAATATTATTATTATAATGTTATTATTATTATTATAACAGTGTTAATAAATATTTAAAATATTATTAATATTTGAAACCTTTTTACACTTTTCATTTGATTTCTAAAACGTAAGTTGAGTTCATATCTCATTAGGGTCTTGGAAACTTCATTGCCCGGCCATCCCAGAAATGATTCAAGAATATCGTCCATGGATATAAATGCAATATTGCATAATCTGGCTGTCATTTCTTGCAATGTTGCTGCCCACTGTTTTGCAGGGCCGGCTTGACCATTGGCAAACTAGGCAACCGCCTAGGGCGCTCGCATTTGAGGGGCAGCATGGCATGAGAAACAGATTATGTTTGCTCTTAATATTTGAATCTAAAAAAATGCAGTACCTTAAAATACTTTTGTTACCGCGGTATTCAAAATAATAAAATTCTCAAACTAGCACTACCTAAGTAGATTCTTTTGTCTTTGGTAAAATTACACTCTTTAATAGGTGTACCGCCATTAGTCTTTCATTTTGTTGTGATTCACTTATCACAATCATATCTTTTAAGTAATATTAGCCAGCCACTGACTTACATTTGATTAGTACATAAATATTATGAAGTATGAAAACTTCTCAAGGGCATACTACTGTAACAGTCGTGTCACGGTTACAACTTTAGTAATCAAATTAGTAATGTCGTAAGTAACAGTATTTCACGTAAGATAGAAAGAGGTCGCTTCCAAAAAAACTTATCCATTTATTCAGCGAGTTACGGAAGTCAGTTCTGGTCAATTGGTTGAATCTACCGAGTGTAAATACATTCAAAGTTATTCACATACTTGAAACGAGTTTATTCGCGTATAAACTGATTTATTATATCTTTTATATTTTAATTTGGAGCAAGTCGACGGTGTTATGATTATCAGCATACCTGACACGCAAGATAAAATGTAACGGGCGCCGCTAAGAACCATGATATTGTTGTGATTGACACGACCAAATGTATTAAATTAAAAATAATCTATCAAGCTATCTATAAGCCGACAGTTGCTTTACGTGATCCGAATTCCTTGGTTTTCATTAATATAAAAAGTGATTGTATACCTATTGATGAAAATCGCGTTAAAATTGAAAATTAATAATTTTGACGGGTAACTGGGTAATCTTAGTCGCATTTCGAAATTTAAAAAAAAAGTAGATAAAACTCTTTTCATTTAGTGTCGATTACAATAGACAGGCCATGATTATTTTGGTACAACGGGACAAGAACGTTCTTTTTAAATACTCAAAGAAGTTACAAAAACGTTTTAAGTTTAATGATTAAAGACAAACGAATCAATTGAAACTGAAATAAGTAGTTTTATTTACTTAAACAAATTTATTTTTAAAGTGGTTTGCATCGGCCTTTGTGAGTTGCTTTATTCGTTACCACAATAGACGAGTTTCGATGCATGTAATTTAAATTGCTTTCTACATCAGCTACATTATCTTTTTATACACTTATAAGTGTTTAAGCTTCAGTGTCAACATTCATGTAACTGGTAGTTAGCATAAGCCAATTACGTAAGCAAACTATTTAATTTTTATTTTCAATTTGGTACTAGGTACTTTTTATTTTCACTCAGATTTAATAAGTTCATTGTATGAAAGCTATGGTGCGTCATTGATCGTTCAATTATTCACTCCATAGGAGGTCGAGACAAGTTTTTTTTTGGACTCCAAAAAAAGTCTTATGAGATTGAAGTTTCGTTTGATAAAAGGATAGTAAAATACTTGCTTCGCCGGTTGTTTCCTGTGAAAGTAGATTGCTATCTTTTTGTTGTAATGATAAATTCTCTCCTACGTAGGTACTGTAATATATTATGTACCTTATATAATATTTGTAAAAACGTTACTTATGTTTCTATCGTCTGTCGTTTGGTAGAATAGTTGGCATTTCGGTTTTTGAAACTTGTCTATGTTCAAGGGTTGAAACTATAGTATTTAACAACACGATAGCTAGCCACAAGCTTTCAACTCAATAATTGTTTTTCGTCATCCAATCGCAATAATATTTACAAAAACTATTCTCAAGAA